CCTGAAATTATAATGCAGACCGTGTGAGTGATCCCCCCTGAAATTATAATGCAGACCGTGTGAGTGATCCCCCCTGAAATTATAATGCAGACCGTGTGAGCGACCCCCCCTGAAATTTTTTTTAAAATTCTTAACATCAGAAACTCCCCCACTTCCCCCTTTTTGCCACATTTTATAATCAGGGCCTCCACTGTCACCCTCCCCTCTTTGGTCGACAAAGACACAATCTTAAAATTGTTAAACAGACAACAACTTCAACAACTTCAACTGCCAACAACTTCAACAACTTCAACTGCCAACAACTTCAATGGCCCAGTGCCTCAGACCATGTTAATGCCCCCTCTGTATAATATGGCACACAGGTTACCAAAGCTTTATCATCTAATGCTCCCAAAATGCTAGATCTTAAAATAGTTAAGCTTTTTTCATGATGACTTTCAACTAAATATCTCTACATTCAATAAACCTAAAAAATATGCCAATTTTTTTCTCCTTTATTATATATAACATGGCAATTGAATATTAATTATTTTTGTATACCACTGTTTCCAGTATCTGGACATTAATACAATCAACAAAACAATATGAACAAGAAAACATGTTCTGATTACTAAGCTGTGTCTTTAATGTGATTTAAGAGCTAATAGCTGATTTAGCGATTTAACCATTTAACCATTTAGCCATTCCTGCAAAGGGATTTCAGTCCAGGAAACTACTTATGACACAGTGTTCCACATTCCAAAAATAATTGTTTTTCTTATTGCTAAAAAATGAAATTATATTAAAACAATGATCTATGTTGATTAGCTTGAAAGCAGATGATGACTGAGGGAGCGTCTGTCCAACATTGCCAGCGTACAGAGAGGGTATTTAGTCATTTTGATATTATTATTTATTTATTAATATACAAGATTCACATAAAATTAAAATTCTCTTTTAATTTCTTTGAAATAACAGTCAAATTGCACTTTTAGGGCCCAGTATTCAACATGCTTTCTGTACAATTTGTCAGAACAGTAGCCAAAATTATTACCTTCTTGATGGTCCGGATGGTGTCATTACGCGACACAGCAAAGTTCAGGTAAATCCCTGTTGGGAGCAGGAAATCCATGTCCACTTGCTGGCCTCCATCCTCCCAAATGCCTTGCAAACCATAGACCCCAGGGGGCATTTTGGTGCCCACTCATTTACAGCCAAGTTAGCTGGATGCACAAGAAATAGGAAAAACAGCCACGTTAATAAAATGCTACATGAATCTTGTTGAATGTTGCAAAAATGTTGAATATTGCAAAAAATTCATTCCACAATATATATCAGGCATCTGTCCCCGAACAATCAGAAAAGAGTTGCGTTAAGAATACCAGCTTTTTGACTGGGCACAGCAAGAACTCAAACAGCCACTGCTCATCACCATGAAATCATCATAAAACCTCATCCCGTGAAAGAAACATGTTCCGTATTCTGGCCACAACCACAGTTTGCTATTACAAAAATCTAATTTGTTGCAGGAATGACAGGCATGCCATGTTTAACAGCTTTGCTTTATTAAAATTACATTTATCAACTGATACATTGGATATTGTTTTGTGTTACTTCACATTCGTGTTTTGGTAGGAATCTACTTCAGGCATTGCTTTGGTTAGTAGTCAAATAAGCTTTGTCATGCTTTGTCACTTTTAGAAGGAATTAAACTTGGCAGTCAGCAATTTCATTAGGACCTTCCAGTAAAATCAACCCTTTATCAAACCCCTGAGATATTGTAAAAAAAAGAATTAAGCATGCTTTGGACAAGTTTCTTATTAATCAATCAATCAATTAATTAATTTGTTTTAATAAGATGACAAAGGAGACACTGAATTATATGAAAAGTTGGTAATGTTTTACATTAACTGCACCTTCATAATGCTGTTATATTGCATTCTTAAAACGTTCAGTGCACCTTCATAATGTATTCATTTAAAACATTCATAAACATCATGTATGAATACCTTAACATCCTAACATCCCTTAACAGCTGTAATATACATTAATAACAAATATTATAATTGTATGATCATGTAATGTTTGTTATTAATGTACATTAAAGCTGTTAAGGGATGTTAGGATGTTAAGGTGTACTTGCATGCTGCTTATGAATGTTCTATGAATACATTATGAATGCATTATGAAGGTGCACTGAATGTTAAGCGTTACCGAAAAGTTTAATCCTTAAATCAATCTTTTAAAACTATTTGATAATATAGCTTTTACACATATATTTGTAGTTATACAAATTTACTAGACCGTCTATGTCTCACCTTTAGGCAATGACCAGCCCCCCAGACACTGAGTGAATTATTAAAACGAAGTTCTTACGTTTCTGGTATAAAAAGAACGGAGGAAGCAACGCTTCCTTAAATGTAAGCCTACTAGAAAAGTCGTTTTACTTTTATTTCTGTATCGCATTTTTGGATAACCATCACATTTTTATTTTAGATCAATTTTTATAAAATTTTTAGAGTGCTATAAATTAAAATTCTACTATAAATTCGATTAAAACACTATTTCAAACGGGAGTAAATGCCAGTTACGATTGTTGATGCATACACTTAGAGTCAGTCTCGCACTGATTGAGAGGCAAACAATTAAATTATGCTGGTTTATGTTATGAAGTCACCAACATACATAGTTACATCCCTAGCGCTGGTCATTTACACATGAAAATAGGTCACATATAACGTGACATATTTCATTTTAACTAACATAGATACACACAGTAAACAGGAAACTTGGTACAAAACCTGTTCTCTAGAACTAGGTTTTGTTAAATTGAATAACGTACCAATCGTTTATGATAGCTATAAATTGAAGTATTATATAGCTCTTTGGGGTTAAATACAAGGTAAAATAAGGATTACAAAAATATTTATACATTTTAAAATATGCATAAAGTTATAAATCATTTTTTCATATATTTTTCCTTCAGGTCGAATGTCATGCATTGTTTTTTTACTGCGGCAATGAATAGCCTACAAATTTGAAAAACACAGACAAATATTTAAAAAACATAAAACTGCATACGTTGTGAATAAAAAGTATGTTACATTTTTTGTATTCTTTTTTATTCTTTTATATAAATATATTACTCACTTGCATTGAGTTCCTTCACGATTAATCCATTGCAATGTGATAGTTTTCCTGTAGCTCCTTATTTGTGTCAATCAGTATAGTAAATCCACGACGCTAGTGCTAAATATCCCCTTTGAAAATGCAGAATGAATTTCTTTTAACTTCTGTAGTACTGTATCTGACACGTAAGTATCCTGACTCCGAGAGCGCGCTACTTCTCGGTAAGCACCGTCCTCAGAGGCGTATTCGGAAATAACCAATAAACATGAATCCACTGGGAGTGTCTCAAAAGTTTGTGCGTAGATGAAAGGTGTAAATCGTGCTCGATGAGGAGGACATTGCGGATTTACTGTATTTCAGCAACCTCATTTATTTCGCATGTTTTACCTTTGTTGCATGTGTACTTTTGTTTTAGAGAAACCTACATGCCATAGTTTGTGGATGTGATTCAATTTCCAGTACCGACTGACTGTCCTTCTGATTCAATATCTTTGTACAAATTGTTAAGCTCAGTATAGTCAATAGATATTTAATCAATGGGAATAGGTTCAGAGCAATGATACCTGTATTGATACATTGATTCAATTCCTCTCCATTTCCAGTTCGGACAGTTTGAATAAACCTGATCAGGAATAATAGTTTTCCTATGTGTTCCTTTACAATTAATAATTTCGTTGAATAGATCTTTCGCATTTATGGAATACTTCCATTTTAGAATGAAAGTGGATATTGTATTTGTAAATCTACAGTCACGGTGTAAGCCTACTACATTTTCCATAGCCACTTATACAGAATCACGGTGCAAAGCGATAAACTACTGCAGCATATTAAAAATTAAATGTGCTTTTAATGTAGCTCTAAAAGAAAGCAGGAGGGAAACCTTAATTTTTCAGCTAATACGCACATGACAGACAGTTCCTTGCTGACACCCACACAGGATGTGCACGCGCAGATAAATAGATTTGAAATTTTAAATTTAAAATCTTGTCATAAGTCAACTCATAGAAATTCTAGCATAATAAAAATTACTTAATTATAAAACACATTCGTTACTCTAACATAATCTATGTTCTGTCGTGAAAAGAAAAGTGTGCTCTTTGTATACAGTTCAATACAATGTATAAATTTATCTTACTTGGAAACCGAGCTGTAATGTATTAAACACAAGTATTATTATTGTCTTTATTATCATTCTATGATGGTTGTGAAAGTCATTCTGAATAATATCTAGAGTTTTTTTTTTTACAATCATTGCTTGTATATTAATGAGGAGCTTTCATGTTCAAAAATAGCACCAACCAGCCAATATTATAAATTCCATATATTTGTTCTTGCCATACATCCTAAAGCGGTCCCACTGTTAGATGTAACATGCAGTATGAACACAGTATCAATGACTCGTCCAGAAGAATAGTAATGTGTTCTGGGAGATGCTGTATTGGGTGCTCTGTAGCCAATCCTGGAGACGCAAGGCATGGAAGAACCCAGGATGGGGTGCCAACCCATCGCAGGGCACAAGGCAGGGAACAACCC